AGCCAAGGTAAGTAAAAGAATTTACGTTGTTCAGTGCACTGTTCTTTATCTGGAAAGTGTCTGAACCAGTGAGGGAACCACCTTGACACATGACCTCGGTCTTCCCCGTGTTGGTGCTGAGTCCCGCACGTGTGTATGTGTTGTCCAGTACGGTGAGACTCCTCTGGAGACCTGTGGCGGTGCATCCAGCGACTGCAGCATCATCTGCGTACTGAAGTTCTAGAATTGTCCCCTTCTGGATTTTTGTCGGCGCCCTGAATCTGCGTAGGTTGAACAGGCCGCCGTCCAACCTGTAGGTTAGTGGCACACAGTCCTCTGGCCTTATGTCCTTCTTGGCTGCCAGCATTACGGCCGCAAGAAACAGATTGAAGATCACTGGCGCGATCACACAACCTTGCCGGACACCTGTGCATACGGGGAAAGCATCAGACTTTGCTCCTCCTCCGAGAACCCTTACCATAGCTCCGTTGTGCAGTGACTTCAGGACAGCTAGGTACTTGGGGGGGCAGCCAAAGCGCCGAAGTACTTCCCACAGTAGGGGTCTATTGACTGTGTCGAATGCTTTAGTTAGATCGACGAAGACCATGTAAAGGTCTTGATGCTGTTCCCTGCATTTCTCCTGAATTTGTCGGGCTACAAAAATCATGTCCGTGGTGCTGCGGTCTTTTCTAAAACCGCACTGGCTTTCAGGTAAGACATCTTCGGAGACTGTGTTGATAAGTCGAAGTAGCAGTATCCTTGCAAGTACTTTACCGGCACATGATAGAAGAGAAATGCCTCTGCTATTGCTGCAACTTGCTCTGTCTCCCTTCTTCTTATATGTGCTCACAAGATCGGAGTCTTTCCATTGTTGGGGGACACAACCAGAGTTCCAGGCAGTGATGATGAGAGAGTGTAGACACTGGACGACTGGCTCACCACCAGCTCTCAGGATTTCTCCAGGCACTCCATCTGGTCCCGCGGCTTTGTTGTTCTTGAGAGAGTTCACTGCCGCGCGGACTTCACTGGAGGTTGGGAGCTCATCCATCTCTGTCATGGTTGGGAGCTCGGGAATGTCCTCGATGATGCTGTTGTCCACTTCTGTGTGCCTGTTCAGCAGCTGCTTGTAGTGCTCTGCCCATCGGGCAAGTATGGCAGTTTTGTCTGTGATTAGAGATGTTCCATCCGCGGACCGCACAGGGAAGTGGGACCCTCGTGTTGGGCCGTATGCTGCCTTAAGGGCACTATAGAAGCCCTGTTGGTTACCGCAGTCTGCGTACCCTTGCATCTCCTTTGCTAGGTTTGTCCACCAGACGTTCTTCATTTTCCTTATCTCCCGTTGGGCATGGGACCTCAGCTCCGTTAGCTTAGCCCGGTTAGCTCGAGTTGGGTTTCTAAGCACGTTTGAGTGTGCTTTGTGCTGCTCCGAGAGGAGTGTTTGAATGTCTGGTCTCTGCTCATTGAACCAGTCTCTGTTTCGTTTTTTGCTGGAACCAAGAACTCTGCGAGCGGAGGCAAGAAGAGTACTTGCCACGCCTTCCCAGGCTTCAGTGAGAGCTTCTGTGTTGGGAGGAGTGTCATCGGGGATAGTGGGTAGGCTTTGTTCAAGTGCCCGTTGCAGTTCTATGTATTTTTTCTCATCCCTGAGTGCTTGGAGATTAAGTCTTCCGGTCCTTGCGGTGCATCGGCGCTGTTTCTGTGTGTGGAGCTTGACTTTGGAGCGGACCATTCTGTGGTCAGTCCACGCATTGGCACCTCTCATAGCGCGTGTGATTGTAACATCCCTGCGATCCCTCTGCCGTACTATGACATAGTCCAGCAGGTGCCACCTCTTGGATCTGGGGTGCATCCAGGTGGTCTTATGTAGGGAGCGCTGCTGGAACAGTGAGTTTGTGATGACAAGTGAGTGCTCGGCACAAAAAGTGAGGAGTCTTAGCCCATTGTCGTTGCATTTGCCCACGCTATGTCCACCCAACACTCCTTTCCACAGGTGTTGACTAGTTCCAACACGTGCGTTGAAGTCGCCCATAATGACCAACTTATCCTCAGGAGGCACGGCACGGATTGCTGCATCTAGGGAGTTGTAGAACTCATCTTTGACCAGATCGCTTGCTACTAATGTGGGTGCATATATGCTTATAAGTGTCAGATACCGGTCGTGGCGGAGTGGGAGTCGCCAGGTCATCAGCCGCTCGCTGATTCCCTGCGGATCTGCCGGTGTAGAACGCAGTAGTTCAGTCCGGACTGCGAAGCCAACTCCGTGTAGTCTTCTGTCAGTTTTGGGTAGTCCTTTCCAAAAGAAGGTGTACCCCTCGCCCTCTTCTGTTAGAGAGCCTTCGTCTGCCAGCCTGGTCTCCGCCAGCGCTGCAATGTCAATGTTGTATCTACAAAGTTCTGCCGCCACAAGGGCAGTTCGTCTTTCAGGACATTGCGAATGTTCTGTGTCCATTAGGGTGCGGATATTCCAGCACGCAAGTGTTAAGTCAGTCGGTTTTGTCTTTGTGTTTCTGCCGCTAAATGGAATGCCATGACGGGCACGGCGACCCGCCCATGGTCGGGGTGGAACGTGCAATGTTTGAGCCACCTTTTCTAGGCCCTTCCCCATCCTGGGGTGGGCAGTGCGGATCCTAAACAGGACTGCCCAGTCACTCCGGCTGCTGCCTCTGTAGGCTGACGTTCCGTCCCAGCCTGTCAGCGACCTTCAATACCGGAGCCGCCTCACGTGTGGGTTTGGGGCTGGGAGCTCCCAGTGGCATTCATCACCTGCTCCCGTCGCTCCTTGTCCATCGCCGTGGGACTTGTAGTCATTAGTCAAAGGGGAGTAAAGAGTACAAGAGTACAATGAGAGAAGCATGTGCAAAGAGGGTTTTAAGTGGAAGGAGAGTGCACAATTCTCAGTCCACTATCTTGGCCCCATCGAGAGGGATCCAGTGGCAAGGGAAAGACCGAGACGACTGGCTCAGGGTGGGGTTGCAGAGTGTCGGGTCTGTATACCTGTGCTGACACTCAGGCACAGGTGTAACCACAGTATGTGGCCCCTCACATGGTTTCGCCCGCCTGCTGAAGCGGTGTACCGGGGTGTGGCGCTTGGAGCCAGCATGTGAGAGATTAGGGGATGGGTGAGGGACAGTGGTGCTTGTCCACCCTACTGATGTTCGGGCGCAGCAGACAGGCAGCCAAGGTAAGGAGGAGAAAGCCTCTACCCAGAGCCCCCTACACCCCAAGGTGTAGAGGTGACTTCAAAGGGAGAAGAGACGCGACAGGTGTTCAATATCTTTAGGCCTAAAAAGAGTATGGCCAAATCCTGGCAACAGATGCTCAATTTTCATCGGGTCTTGTCTATTTTCTGCAATGAACATATACTGATACAATAACCTATTTTGTGTCTAAATTTACCATTAATCTTGTAGGGTTCGCCATGTTTTAGAAATGATCTGCCCTATGCTATGTATACATCTTTCCTGTTCGATGATTTTTTTCGCAAGTCTGTTTTTCTCTACATATAGCCTCGGACCCGCCGAGGATTATGGGATCTGTAGAGGTCACACGGGGTCATCCTGCGGGAAGAGGTTGGAGAGACAGACCACGGTGGTTTTGTCTCGCCACAGGTCACCGTACAAACAGTCTGGTCTTAGGAACAAGCTGTTATCACAAAACCCCACTTGGCTTGTAAGCCTGTGTAAGGACGGGGAAGGAACAAAAACTTAATTTTCAGGCTGAGTGGTCAAAATAATAAACAGTAGGGAGGTGTGGGACTTATATTCCTGTCATCAAGGAAGTCTTGTTATGACATGAAATCATGTTATTTTTCGGCACGTTCATATATCAAACTTGTTATGAATTTTCGAGAATCGTCGCACTTGTGTTTTCTGAAGTTGCTATCATATAACACAGTTTCCAACTATGATATACCAAAGTCTAAAAGAAGAGTAGAGTTTGCCTTCACCGGCAATGCATATGGTCTTGTGCCCTCTACTCTCTCAGGTCCTGACTTTATAAAACTTCTTCTCTGCTGAGTGCACTCTAAGACTATAAGTAGACGTAAGCCTCGGATCTACAGTAACATTAATATGTTCTGTCTGAAGACCAACCGCAGTTGATTCACAGTCATGTCCTCATCATGGTTGAGCCGCTACACTTTGTTGGTTGGTTTTTACCGTTCATTAGCGTTCATCCCTCTCGATCAAGGTGTTTATCTTCAAAACAGGGTGGTCCTCTCCGGAGGGTGTGATGGAGGTTTTAGCGAAAGCCGCATCAAATGCTAAATTGCTAAAACCGTTTTTGTTTTCATCTCCTTTTGTGACTTCTGCGAACACGTTTTCACGTTGATGAAACCAGGTGATTCAAACGCGCTTCATTGTTTGATGGAGTAGTGTAATCAAAACCCTAAATGTTTGCGTAAGCTGGAATACCACATGACCACCCTTCCTAGCCAGTTCCCAAACCCACAGTGGATTACTTGCTGCCGAGCACCCAGTCGACCGAAAAGACTCCCTTGGCTGATTTTGGCTTTGGGGAAAGTTTAGACATTTGTGGAATAAAAAGGTCTTATGTTCTCAAATTTGTAACACTTTTATCGTTCCGAAACTAATCCTGAAATAGACATCCTGATGTTCTTTCTGAAGTGGTACATTTAGTTCTCCCAAGTTTGCTGTGAGGACCCGCTCCCCCACATGGCTGTTTTGAAGAGAAGACTTAACCCTTCAAAGTGGGGTCACAGAAGGCACAATGACCACGTTCATAGCGCTACACGGATATTTATAGAAGACCGAACCCACCTCAGATAATATTAGGATTTGAGGATTTGGATGTTAGGACCTAAATTTTCTTCCTGAAATGTTTTCATTAAGTAAATCATTTCATCACAATGTGCCTTTAAATTTGTTTATTTAATTTATTAATGGACATGATTTTTAATCATTTTTGATGGATGTAATACGTACCTACTAGACGATTTTTATGTCAGGGGAAACTGTTTCTGGAGAAAGAAAATCATTATACTTACCACATGTTTGTTTCAGGGCGACTCGGGCGGCCCTCTGGTTTGCGAAAAGGCTGATGGGAGATGGTACCTTGTGGGCATCACGTCCTGGGGTAGGGGCTGTGGTGAACCGAACTATCCCGGAGTGTACACCAAGGTGTCCATGTACATGGACTGGATACGGCTGAAGATGGATCAAAACAAATGACGTGTAGCAGAGTTAAACCACTGAAACAGTCTAAATGGTCCTGGGGGATTTTCTGATTCTTCCTGTAGTCCATAATTCGTCCGTTAATTTTAGTATTTCAATCATCCATTCAAATCATCAAAATCGCGTAACCTATTAAGAAGAGAATAAGATAAGACGGGAAAAAAGTCTGACACCAGGAAATATGTATCAATTTCAGTGTACCGTGTGGGTGAAAACAATAAAACTAGTAATTTAGATAGAATAAATGTATTTTGAATGATATAGAGATTGTCAAATATTTCCACTATCTTGCGACGTACAAAGAATATGACGGAAAGAACATGATCATAGCAAAAGTGGATGTTTTGTCAAGTAAGATGAAATAAAGAAATGTGAACGTCAATTATGTGCAGAAAGAAATGTTAGATGTACCAGGATATATAAAATGGACAAAGAAGTTTATCTGTTGTGTACTGTGAAGTTTGATGAGTATCCAAATCATCTGTTACCTTTATTTCTGTTTAGTTACTCATTTGTGATCGTCCTTTTTATATTATTTAATTTTATGTTGTTTTATTTGATTTTCTTTTGTTCCTCCGTTCTCATTAACAATGTCTCTGTGATGAAATGATAATATATACCGAAGCAAATCAATCTTACTTCGCTAAATATAAGGTGTTTAGAATATTACACTGATATTTGTGGACATACACATTGATGCCCCGTGGTCTGATTTCGAGGCTAACTAAATAAAAACCACCGAATGACCTGATTTCAAGGCTAACCACACTACTTCTACACGACCTGTCAAACTGAGGAAACGTCTACACAAAGGCGATGATTAATTATCTTTGAGACAATCCTCCTTTTAATTTTTGGGTAGAGTTATTAGTTTTAAGACTCTCGTTGGGAAGCCCGGAGGGTACATAGGAGGGAGGGGAGGGTCTGGGGCACAGTGGGTACATTGATGGTGGACAGGTGTGCAGGGTTTCCTCACACACCTGTGACTCCAAGGTGGAAGGTCGCAGTGGATGAAAGAACGCGCGCCAGTCAGGCGGTATGTAGGGTGACAGGTTAAGTGAATAGTACCGGTTTGTCCGCTAATTTGCACACAGTCAAAAACAACTCGTACAATATTGTTATTATGGTGGGCAAGACATCAAAGTCTTTCTCGGTTTGTGTGGACAATCAAATTAAAATCTGCGATAAATGTTTCCTGAGCAAAATCTTGACAAATTGACTTGTCAAATACTGATGACAAACAATTTTAATGATCTTTTTTCCTTTGATGTTTTGTTTTCGTATATGGTCTTACAAAGTGACATTTTAAGTCTTCAGCAATTGTTTTGCACTGTCTAGGCAGTTAAACTGCTGACCTAGAATCTCAAGCATGTTCTTTGCATGACCTTGACCGGCCCGGTCAGATTTTTTAAACATGGCGGATGTCAAACCTTACTGTAGCTACAAGATCAAAGCAGCGACAGAAAATCTCGACTTGTGGACGGGAAAAGATTCTCACAACAGGGGTTCATTCCGGGGCAACATTTACGTCAGTATTCTTCGGACGACAATACGGGATGACCACCAATAGATAATATTTAGGCTGGTGGGGAGATTTTGGCGTCACGAAAGAAAGGAAGACAGAACCTTTCCAAATCTCATAATTCGGCTCACCGCGGGGAGGCCATAGTTTAAGGCTCCTGTCTGGAGGTACACCTATAATCTAGCTGACATAATGACGGTGGCTTTGTTTGGGATCTCGGTGCTGCATATAAATTTAGCAAGGTTCTGTCACCAGTGCTACGTAGATCCTATCATAAACTTCAACTCAATCCTCATCAAAAATCCAGAGGGTTAGCTCTTCTGGTGATACGACGATAATGATTAAAACCAACAATGACATGTCGACATTATTGTATAACTATAACGTTACCTGTCCACCGATAGAGTCACATAATTCTCTGACCCTTTTTAATTACCAAACGTACAAGTAGAGTTCTTTTTGAGTGTCCAGTCCCCAGCTGCGTAAAAATTGAGCAGTTTTTAATTCTTCTGGATTATCAATTTTACGGTCGATGTGTTCTAACACAGGGTTTGTGCCGCCGCTATCTCAGGTCGACCCCGTTCTGTCGTCAGACGACTTTTTCCCAAGTCCCCAGGACAAACCCCAGACCCGTAGTCTCCTGTAACAATCACTGTGGGGCTCCTGACAGTCTCCAAAAGAACCACATCAAGCCAGAAATCACAGAGCTACTCTGTATACCAAAAGATACCGGTAATTGGGCGAGATTTTAGAAGGGAAGCTGACGCAAAACCTCCTGCTACGACTCTTTCAGACTAGATTCATTAAGCCTGAAATAAAATTACTCCCTCCCCGCGTTTCTGACAGGAAAAGTTAATCCGCATGATTAAAGATTTGACATGTCCGATGACATGAATAATTAGAGGGCAGTGCACAGCCCAATTATGTTCAGATGAGGAAACGAGGACGTGCTTTTTTTTCTTTTTGTGGCTTTGTGTTTGGAGGAGTGGCCGTTTTTGTGTGCACCTGTTGAAAAGATGAGGTAATGCTTGTGGTTAATTTAGTGGCTGTACCGTCATGTCTGTGGTTTGGGAAGAGCTAGTCGAGCATAACTGGACTTCTATTAGAGTCAAAATGTGGGGAGGGGGGCTAAATGGGCAATCGTAAAGAATATGAAAAAGAAGGTATGTCATGTGGTTGTTTGAACCACATGAGCTTCAAACAACGTGGGCATTCCAATTGCCATTTCAACTCCCACTGTTATATAATTACGTGTAGTTGCGAAACTCTAAGAAAATAAAGAAAAAGCTGTTGATGACGTTTAGATGTAGTATTTTAGCTATCTTTAGGTTTGATCTCTTGAAAAGGAGATAAGATGCCCCTCAATTAGAAAATGGCAGATTCACGTTACTCTACAGTCGTGACGTCAACACTACTCAATGAATATACGTTGACTACTTGACTGATTCTGAGGGGTATAGGGACGCGTTTCGGTCGCCCTCTAGTTATTAGATTACATTATAAGGCGACATTCTCAATCTAAACAGATTATCATAATGTCTAGATCTGAAAAGGAAACACAGCGCCCACCTTCCTTTACGTTAGGTCTGATCGCGTGGCGCCATCATAGGAAATGAAGTTTTAAAAGAGAAACACACATTAGTGCAGACGCAGGTTAGTTAGTGACAGAAGATGTGTTGTTCATTGTTTCTTCGCAACGGAAGGAACACTGAAGAGCTACCGGGCTGGCTACCTGAAACGCGAGACTTAAATTCAAAACGCGTTCGTCACTGATGCCCCATATACGCACCAGAACTGGCTATCCCGTATCAGACAGGAACTGCGGATTATGAATCTCCTAAAAGTGGTTTTAGATTCAGTTAACCAAACACGTAAAGTGCTGTATGTTTACCAGCATATAATGTATCAAAGTCGGTGTTACGCATGTCTCCATTTTAACAACCGATCCGCATGGAAATACTTTAAAAATCCATTCATCTTCTTGTTTCCTAACACAAATTTAACAGATTCATTGATTTTCTTACGAAGGACGTATGGTATAGGAAGGTCTTTGGGAAGCGCCTTGGAATATCTGTCTTTGATATTTTCTGAGGAGAACAGTGATCTGGAGATCGTCTGCAGGTGACGTCATGCTCGGCAAATGTCGTCATTCTCCGCCCTAATGATAATGTCGGCCCCGACTTGATTAGAAGGTTGCGACAAAGAGGCAATGATAGAGGACACAGACATGACAGAGATAAAAGAAAAAACAACACTGTGACTTCCTTTCTAACTACATGCCACGTCTCTTCCCTCCAAAATAAGAACCTTGTAAAAGAAAGGAAGGAACTTGCAGATGATGACCGGTGCGGTGCGAGGCCATTTCCGACCTTGCGTTCCGATGCGGTCTCTTCATGATAGTAATTAGAAGTGATTAGTAAGTAACCACAGGTTAGGCGAAGTCGGACCTTTTATGTCCGGCCACGTATATGCGAGGAATGCTCTTTCTCAGCCACAAAAGAGAAAGTGACAATTAGTGCTCGAGTTCAAACCTCTAAAAGTAGAGTTTTGTGTGGAATGTTAGATTGGAATGACAAAGAACGGTGGGGAAGTATTGAACCCAGTGTATACTTGTAAAGTTGTATGCATAAGCCACCACGTGGTGGCACGTCACACATGTGGTTAACCTAACAGTATCGGTGCTTTCATGATGGCGAGGCGACGTTGACCAGTCTGCTAATCATTGGCCATTGGCCGTCGTCTCTGGTCATTGAGTGATGGGAGAGAAATCACGAGCCTGCCTGCAAGCACACCGATCACTACTATCCTTCCCGATAAGTTTGTTGGGTTCTTACACTTGCAGGGGCTAGATTGACAATGCACGGGGCCAAAGTTTACGTCCCCTACCAAAGATGACCTGAACCTGTCACACCGTACCCGAGCGGGGTTTGAACCTCCGCACTCTGGATTCACGGGATTTGATCCATATTCAACACCCGTTGACGATTTGTATGTATTTGTGGCGTTAGGCAATTTCACCGCATAGTGTCCCCTCTTATCTTCACGCCCGAACTTACAATCTCGGGGCCAAAACTTGTCAATATTTTGTCGTATTAAAGTCACTTGTGCCCCGTACGTAGTGCGCAGACTAGATGCAACCGTTACAGCGATGATAACCGTATATATTTGTATCATTAGTACCACCAGATTTAAACCCAGGGATAAGCTCTTGTCATTTTAGACACTAATCAATTTCATATGTTAATCCTGGATGTGTTTAGTTGTTGTTTTTAAGATGATTATCGTTTTTTCTACCGAAGAAAAACAGAAAACAACGGAAGATGAAGATTGATATGTGTCAATCAAACTGCTGTCAACGTGGGTGGGAGGGCTTCAGAGCGGGAGATACACCTGTGATAAGGTAGAAAAATAAGATACCGTCACACCTGGTATTGAGGTAAAAAAGATACTATGATATTGGTGCAGTAGAGGGACGCAACATGGTAGTTCAATGATTTGATGTTGAGTTTAACTTCCTAATAAAGAGAAATATCGAACAAAACTATTTCTTGTTCAGAATTCAAAACAAACAAACATGACAAAATAACACCACGCCCTCCTCTTTGCGCAGTTTACCGGTGAGGTAAAAAAAAATCTTGCCTCCCAAATGTAAAACCGGTGCGTCTACCTGCACAGAATTGTTCTCTTATCTGTGAATGCTGACGGTTTGCAAATTTACAGGAGATGATTAAGTAACGAGCGGATGCGAGAAAATTCCTAGAATCGTTGAGCAACCAGTTACTGTCATCCTGATAAACCCCAGCCCCATCTATTAAGGCCGGCTCACCTGTACATAAAACCCTCTGTCCAGAAAGCTCTTAAAACAGTACACAGTGCACAAAGAGATATTCATCTAAATGCTACAGCAATAACACCATTAGTGGAACATGTCACTTCGCTCAAAATTCCACTGTAAACGCTTAAGGGCAAACGCTCAATTAACGAGATTAAGGCTTATCCACATTTTCTAATTAGTGAGATAGTCCTGAAAACACAAAACATGCCCGGCGCATGGCGTTGTTTTGGGGATCTATTGAGTTGAAAACTTACACGGAGGTATGTTTTAAACGTGCTGATTACCTGGTAAACGCGTGAGCAATTGCTTTGTGTGTAGGGCCGTTGGGAGGCAAAGGGGTATTTTTTGTAAACACCAAACGTACGCCAGGTATGCA